TCCACTCACACAATTCAATTCGGCTTTCATGAACTAATCATTATTTTTTTTTTGCAGCATTCCTTTGTACTATATGAATGTTTTTCATACAGCTCTTTCTGTCCAATCAATGGATTGTCTAAAGTAGATTACTGTGTTGGACATCGAACAAGGAAACCTTTCCTGTCAACTTAGAATTAGGTTGCTTGGCATTTAGTGTCGGTTTGTTTTAAAAGAGGCGTTCACAGCTCAGAATAAATATGATTAATCGAAATAACAACCATTTGAATTAAAATTTTGGACTTCCTAAGCTAATGAGGTCGTTGAAGGCAGTATTGGTCTCCACTCGGTTTCTGAAATATTTCTCCCAACGAGCTTTTCGAAACACTTTAAAAATTAGTAGTCGATTGATGAAAGGTCTCGAGTGTATGGTGGACAAATCATTATTTAGTAGCCTAGCCTGTTCAACTTTTGCAGTGCTGGTAGTGCGACATGTGGCTGCACGTTATCGCATAGAAGGATTGGCCCTCTTCTGCTGAGCAATGCGGTACGCAACCAGTGAAGTTTTTGGTGAATTTCGTGGAAGTGCTGGTCATACTTCGCCGCTGTAACTATTTCACCTGCATTCAGGAAGCCATGATGGATTAATCCAACAACAAACCACCAATCGGTCGGCATGACCTTTTTTGGTACAGTTTTGGCTTTGGGAAGTGCTAAAGAGCTTCATCGTTGTCCAGTCATTGAGCCAATCTTCGTCAATTACCACAGAATTTCCGGTTCTCGTCGAATGTAACAATAGGATCGAGAAACAGGTCGTTCTGGTTGCGCAGAATAAGCGCCGACAAGAGTTTATAGCTGCGATTTCTTTGATTGTCATTCAATTCATGTGGAATCATTTTGTTGAGCTTCTTCGACTTTTCACTACGCTGAGTTTTTTTGCATGTTTTCGAGAAGATGTGCATGTATTTGCTTCCTGGAAATCCTTTAATTCATCGTTGTCAATTCCAGAAGGACGTCCGAGAAGTCCGTCGTCTTCACGATCGAATTCACTACGACAAAAATTTTCAAGCTAACCATGCACTGTGTATTTGAACATTTTCCTAGTCACATGTCTTATTAATGTTTCAACTCGTTTTTGCTGCTGTGCGTCTGAGCTTGAATTGGTAGAAGTAGGTTCAAAGTGGATTCGTAGAACTAGAAATTGCCATTTTGGCACTTGAAATTCTAGCCCTAGTTTATCAAAAAAGTGTTAAAAATTGGTCAAAAATAGCATGTTTAGTTATAACGCATTACGTCTTTCTACTGGACGTATCTGCGACAATTTCGTGTGAAGAGAAAGCGTATACAAGCATTTAAACCTATCACTAATTCAAAAATGCTTTGCTATTCACACAGCCGATGTGCAACAAGAAAACGGTGCTTCGAAATTCCTGGCTTAAATAGTTTGTTGCTGTGATGTTTCATCCTTTATGCGAACATTGAACGGTGGAACCACAATTCCAAATATTCAGTGTTTCCGAAAGCAGTTACTACGAATATTTATTCCTAGCTGACTACATCGCCGTCCCACCGACATTCCATGAATGAGGCGTTTTCAGTGATGACAATAATGGAAAAGCAGCGGGTGTGATGGCTCGCTTCAAAGGAAACAAATGGAGAAGTAATCGGACAACTGAATTAATCGAGGGTCGTCATAATAGGTATGGTGAGGTTCGAAGACATTATATTTTGGAAAAAGGCTCCGAAATTAACATTTTTTGCCCATAATATTTTCCCTTTCTAATAAGGACTAGGTCGTCGTGCCTACCAACAGAGTTAGTGAACCAATTTGTACTTGCCTTGATCATTTATTCTTTTTTTCTTCCATTTTTTCTTGCATTTTCTGCATTTCGTGGTGCAAGGCTTGAAGATCTAGCACCTCACAGTGCTAGCGGAATAATTATTGGGCTCTATTTTTAGAAGTGCGCGTGTGGCGCAGTGGCTGGAGGCGCCACTGCGACACACACGTGGAATCGATCCCCGCGCCCATGGCCCACCAAGCCCTTCATCACTCCGGTGTCAGCGAAATAGTACCAGACTTGTCTGGGAGGAAAGCAGACTGGCTCGATACATCGGTAGGCCACGGCGAGTCATTGTAAAGGCCAGATATGATTCAATCACCTCCAACGATACTTAATGGAGTCGAATGCATGGAGCATCCCTCAGGGATTGATCAACGCTGAGAGCTTTATCCTTTACTTTTTATCTTTTTATTTTTAGATGTTGTAAACTATTACACATTGCATATACCGGGTAGTAGTTCAATTTCTCTTCTGAGAAATGAAAACCAAAATCATTAGGAAACGAGCATTGTTGAAAATTTTGTCCACCTACTTGCAAAGTTCATAGTGGCAGGGTGGCGAGTGCTCCTAATGAAAACTTTGAGAGGTTCAGCTCAGCTCGCTCAGGACAACCAAATTACGGACATTTTAACCGGTACTGATAACTTGACCTATGAAGATATACTGCAAGAGTAGTTATTAGGAAAATATTACCATATCTGACTGCGTAAAGTACGTTGTCAAAGACATAGATCCATTTTTAATGAAATTGGTAGTGTTTCTAGAAATTCATTTTTTCACAGTTTTTTCGTAACAGGTTTCATCTTATAATAAGCCATAAATAAATTCCACAGCAACTACTGTTCGCGAGGTTTCTTGATTAATTCGTGTTCACTAATCAGTGCTCAGTTATATTTAACAATTTAACCATTCCTTATTCTCTAGAAACGGCTGAAAATGAAAACTTTGTGGCTTTTTTTACGTTAACTAGCGAACTTTTTAATGTAGAACTTGGAACTCTAGTATGTCTTGAACTCTATACACGCGACATCGTAAAAGCGGCTTCCATACATTCATGGCGACGTCCTTTTCCAAAGACTAGGTTCTGATGTTCTGGTTCTTATGCAAATCTCGAATGTTTTAATTCAATTCATTCGGAAGACTTTGGTTCTAAAGCCCTGGGATCCTTTCCGCATGCCGAAGTGAATTGATTCTTCAATGGCATGCTATGAATGGTCAGTACTCTATGACCTTCGTGATTATGTGTCTAAGTTGGAAGTGTGTAGTCATCTTCCACACGGATTCCCTCGGGCTTTTTTGACAACGTGGTTGAACAGACTGATCACAGAAAGCGATGGATTGACAAAACTTTTCAATTATGCTAATTTCACATTGAGCAGTTGGTTTTCTTATAACTAGCAGGAGTAAATAGGGATGTGAAAAGAAAAACACCAGAAATGAAACTAACTTTAGGTTTAACGCTTTCGTATCCCTTGCATATATTTATCACTTCATGTTTAACCTGACCTCTTCCGCGTTTTTCACAAACTCCTTGATGGCTATCGCATTTCATTCTCTTTCGGGATAACCAAAGTATAAGAAATTTTTTACCAGTTATTTTGATGGAGAAACACTCAGGAGTAATATTTTTTTACATGGATGAGCTGGCACGAGGTTTGTACAAACATTTTTGTTTGGCTAGCTTTTCGGTGCTCATTTCAAAACCACGTTGATGGTCCCAAAATGGTCGTTGTCGCTATATGGGTATTTGTTATCGAATCGAATCGAATGCAGTAGAATGAGCACCGCTCAAGTGGCGATCTTCACTCAGAGGTGGCCTTCTATACAGGACAGATTTTGTGCAATTGACTTCCAATATGATTTTCTTTTTGGCGATTGATGTGTCCTACAGACTCTGATCAACGCTGCTGCGAAGATAGCAAAGTCGCCGAGGTTAGCCGAATAAAAGTTTTTATACCTACCTCGTGTCAGCTCGATCATATAGAAAATTGCCGATTATTCTTACCGGCGTTTAATGAAAATCATCGTTACTTTGTCGGCCATATTGTATGCACCAGGCGCCATTGATATCTTGCTGTTCTTCACGACGTCGATTCGGCCTAATGCTTACTGGCAATCGTCAGAATCGCTTGTCATGTATTTAAAGATAATCACAGCGTAAGCTTATAGCTGCATCCAAAAAGCACTGTATGACTGACATATATACAAACATGGGCGCGTGCGGCGCAGTGTTTGAAGGCATTCCCCAATAAACATGGAAATGATCCCCACGCCTAAGGCCCATCAAGCCTTCCATCCCTCAGGGGCCAGCAAACTGGTGCCAGACTTGTCTGGGAGGATAGTAGCACTGCATCGATACATTGGTGGGTCACTTTAAAAGTCAGATGTGCATTCAATCATCTCCAACGATGCTTAATGAAGTCGAATACATGGAGCATCTCTCAGGGATTGATCATCGCGGAGAGTTTTAGTCTTTATCCTTTTTCATGGCAGACATACATGGAAACGGATCTACACAAATACATATAAATTTAGACACACTTTTATGAATAAATATGCAGTTTTTTCCTGCGCTCGGTTGAGCTACTAGAAACGATGGAAGTTTTTTCTCAGTGCAGTCTGGTAACTTGATTTATAAGCGACGGGAGCCGTTGACGTTATGGACACTTCTGTGAGCTAATTTTATCTTGAAAAAGTACGAAATGCTGTTATAAACTGAAGCAACAATACGGTGTTTACGCATTGGAACGATAGTGTAATATTGCTTCGGCTAACAGCCTTGTTTTGATTTCATATTTCATTTATTAATGTTTCTATTGCAAATGTATAATTATTACGTTCATTGGGTGCTTTTTTAAAAGAATTTCGTTTGAAAAGGCTTTCTTGTAAACAATAATGGACAGAGGAAAAATGAAGAAAGAAGAAGGAAGACAGCAAGAGCCCAATATAAAACAGAGAACAACAAAGGGCGACGGAAAAAGGTGGTGCAGCACATTGTTCCGCGCTTGGCGTCGACCACATTTGCACATCCAATTCACTTTACATCTTCTAACCTTTTAAGTTCAATTGCTTAGACTTGTCTGGCTATAGAATAGTATTTGCACAAATGCTCTTAGTACATCTGAGGCATAGTCATAATCGTGAAAGTTCTTGTAGATGACATGAGATGAATTTAGGAGTATGCGTGGCGAGTGCCATGTAACTCGGACGTTACTTACAGAAGACGCACACTTGCCCAGTCTTCCTATGTATGATGTGTTCTTGGGAGGATCTTGTGGCAGTACAGTAAGTTGTAGCGCTAACAACACATGTTCAATTTGTTGGCCTTTCTATAGATGTTGGACGTGCATCTCATAAGCCTTTACTGATATTTTGGAACGTTCTGTCAACTATAGGTATGGCGTCGTCAGCTTGTCATACCATTCCTTAAGAAAAAAGCCATCTCTTACTATGATCCTCAACGAAGTGTCTGGAGCGAGAATATGATTTATGAAGAGAGTGTTGCTAAGGAAGTAGGTTTGATGTTCAAGGAAAATTTTCATGCATCTTCAGGCTATATGAAAACATGATCACGTTTCAGAGATCATCGCTGTTCTTGTTTGTCATTGACCCTGCCACTGTCAATGCCACGTCATTTCTTGAGATCGCCTATTTTGCAGCAAGAAAATCTCCAAAATTAATCGTTGTGTTTCTCGGGAAAACCGAATGGAAACAAAAAGCTCATCCAGACGATCTGCCAGATAGAAATAGAACTTGCTTGCTTCTAGATAGGATATTGGACGCTCATGACGTTCCCATGCTCTATAGCATACAGGTCTAATTTTGTTTATGTTGCAGATTTCCTTTTCGAAGAAGGAACAAAAAACAACAGTCTCTGATTAGTGTCTAAAATTTCAGGACGCGTTGTACTATATTGAAGAAGAAATAATTGGAAGTAAGCGATGGGCGGATGCGTTGCGTATTCCTTGCCAGCGTCTGACATTTCTCTCTCTTCGAACACGAAAAGTCGCGCGAGCTGCACAGTTTCGAGCACGAAGGGTATGGTTCCGGATGCGGACGTGTGCACGACGTGCCACCTTAGCTGGTCTGGCTGATACAATCATATTCATCGCATGTCAGGTCGTCGCACCTAACATTCCAGTCTACTTCATTCTTCTACCACTTTTCTTGCTCAATGTCATTGTTATGTACGCTACTGAACGATGGCAACGATACCGAGCACGCCGCCCGCGTACCGTTGCCGATTCCTCATATTTCTCTCTACGGGCTTCCGCTGCGATTCCATCTCCACGTATGGCAACTGTTGTTACACCTCTTAATCCTGCTCATGGAAAAAATAACTGTGAGTAATCAAGATGATAATCCATTGCGTGCACTGCAGTGTGAAGAAAACACGTAATATTTTTCACATCAACCGTTAGTTATTCCTTGATTGATTTTCATGGTGACTTCCATCCCAAGATTTTAACAACTGTTCTACCTTAATAGTTATTAGCACTACGTGGATGGAATGGAAAACATACGACCTTAATAAGGGGCCAATAATTTCTGAATCCTGTGGTGGGATAGTCTGAGTCTTGAACGATTACTCTCATTTCTACCAGTTCCGTTTTTCGCGATAAGGAGGTTGTCTTTGAAAATTTTAACTTGTTAGTGGAAAACTACATGAAAAAGAATAGAGTTCGAGAGCTATTACACTGCTTTTGATAAAATGCATATACAATGTGTCATTATGTGACCATTGAGACTGCTTAGAGCAGTTATAAGCCGAAAGTGCTTTTAGTAATTCGTTCGAAAGAATTTTGTGACGGTGTTATTGACAACGGATCATCATCATTCATTGTTCCTGAGCTGTTGAGACGACGCACCCAGAACGGAAGAATGTTGAATTTGCCGTCACCTGTGCAGATAGAACTAGCGTCGAGTGCTCTGGAAGAGAACTCTTGGCTCACTAGGGTCGTCGTCCCACATATGGAGTGAGTGAAAATTCGGCTCTTATCCACTGATCTAAATTCCATTCAGACGAATTTCTATTCACTTATTAATATATTTACCTAAACACATATACGTACACACGTATATATATATATATATATATATACGATCCAGAGGGAATGTTTGTTTTGGGAAAGAGAGAAACTCAAGAGATCTACTGTCGTTTTTGAAGCCTTCAAGAGGACTATGAGGCTAAACATGTGGTTCATCATGAGTAGGGTTGTACCGTAAAGTGACATTCATTATTCTTTACCGTTTTTCCAATTTGTGGTTCCTTCTTTCAATTTTTGGTGACAGTTTGGAAAGGTAAAAGATATGGAATGAATTGGTCAAATTTATGGAAAACGCTTCTGAGTGCTGGTAGAGCGCTATTCGGAATAGTGGAGGAGTTGATTTGAAAATAAATGTCTTATTAGCACAGTTTCGTGTAAACACTGACAGTACCAGATTATGCCAGATCTAACAAGTAATACAAAAGCAATCTATGATTTCTGCTCAATTTGCGCCTGTTTATTTGGTAAAATCTATTGCCCTTCCTTACAGTTCTTGAACGCGTAGTCCAAAGCCACATAAAATTCTACGACAGCTCTGATTTCGAAAATGAACTGATTCATGGATGATCTTACGTATATGCTATGGGCACTAAAATGTTTCATTTCTTCTGTGTTTACTGTTTTATCAACGACTCCTAATATGTTTTTGATCCTAAACATTCTTTTAGACCAACCAGAGCTTAATTTGAAACGATTTGCATGGGAAAAAATCTGAGGTAAAATGGTTGGCATAGCTTCATATAATCATTTTTCCAAGAGGTTTCACTTTTCCAAATTTTAGCATGAAAATTTGAGTTTGCATTTTGCAATTAATAATAAAGCATAGTAGAATTTTTCAGCCGGCATAACCTTAGATATTCACGGTTTATGGTGACGAATGACGTCGAACCAGAATGTCGTGTTAAGTGCCTCATGACGTGGGCTTCGCAGACAAAACACTTCCTCTATCACATCCCATCTACGAAGACGTTCCTATCGGGACTGGTTGAAGTATGTTCTACGATTTATCTCTGCTCTCAAAGTCTCAAATATAGCTGAAAATTAGAGGCATGGCAGAGATTATTATTGAGAAACATCCAAAATTCGCTTTCTGTTCTTCATGCTTTTTCAGGTTGCCTACATACTAGGACATACTAATTGGCAAGTAACTGTTTGTGTCCCAAAGAAAGCAGAGGCTCTAGAAGCACCGTCTACTATTGAGGGGGAACTAGAACGAGCGTCGAGAAGACGCCGAAATGACTCCTACCAGATTGCGTTTTGCTACCTCAAAGTAAGGCACATTTAAAAATTAACTTTTGAAGTTTCTTCCATGTAGTTTGCTTGCACAGTCAAACAAGTTGAGAGATATGAAATCGTGAAAGTGCATGTTTGGCCTATATAGTGACTTGCCGTGTTCTGTTTACGTACCTGGCACGGTATAGAACCAACGACCACTTGTACATTGAAATACATCTCTAACCACTGCAATAGGCACACTTCTTTGTTGCTGTGGATGTAATGACTACATCTGGAGATTTCAGGATATGGCCAAACGACGGCAATGTCGTGTCTTCTCTGAGTTAGACGATGCCCTTCGTTACGTAACTAATGTGTCATTTGACCGATTGTGATTTTCACCAACACTTTAATGGCAGGGATTATAATATTATTTGTATATGTATTCGTGTGTACATATGTGTAGAGCTCAATCTAACTCATTCCGATGCTGCTCAAGAAAAAGAAACCGTCTGCTACAAGTGTTCTATAGATACGAGTTGCTCGTGGCACAACTACGTTGTCTCAACATCAATTTCCTTTGAAGCACATGTCTTAAAGCGTGTTTTATCTGACTACCTACGATGATCCCTCAGTATACTGACTCTGAGTCCGCTATGAGCATTACACTATACGGTTTTAAAGCAGTTATCTTTCCAAACATCATTTCAATTGGGTGACATTCCTTTCGCGCAATAAGTTTTCCTTATGTAGAATGTGTACGAATTGTTGTGAATCTCAAAAATCTATTGAATTTACAAGTGATGTCAAGTTTTGTATGATTGCGGCCCCACTTTACTCGGTAAGCGGTTTCATTATCAAACAGACCATATCTCCAGCGTCTGGTTGTGCCACAGATGTGCAACGACATTTTGTAATATTTGTTATTTACTGGTGCGGTTTATTTGGTATATCGAGATGTGCTGTATACCTTATATGTTTCACACAAAGTGCTCAGGGCCTTTGTTGTTGCTGTTCTGGAATTTCGTATTAATTTTAGAGTCAATAGGATATAATATTTTCAGATGATTTGTCCCCGATAAAAATAACGTTTCTCGACTTTTTTTCTAATCTGAGTAACACGTTATAATATTTATTTGTTCGTCGAATAAATAGCCGCTGAACAGTGCAGTTTGTGTCGTTCATATTTTAGGTTTTCAAAAATATGAATATTTGTTCTTTTTTCCACAAAAAGTGAAATGTTTGATCATAGTTTCTTCAAATGCAGCGACTTGAAATGTGGCTTAAGAACAAATATGCTTATTGTTGTTCATCCACTTATGAGCAAACACGTGAGCCACAGATAACACGTGAGCTCCAGCAATGTTAATCGTGGCTTTGAAATCTAACCTGGAGCCTGTGTCTTGCAAATATCTCAACACCATTGTGGTCGTATTTCACATAATTCCCTGTCATAGGAAAATAATAGGTAGTGAACAAACAATTATACATTATCGCTAAGTATTTATATTTTCTCGATGAGAACGTTTTCATATCATTGAATCATACAGTTTATGTTCGTTTAACTGGGTACTAATTCTTCTAATGTTTTGTGTAGTAAATATTTTGTGCCTTTCATCCACGTTCAGACTGCGATCGCTCTGTATTGTTAACGCGATACGGTTACAGCACTCATTTATACGATCGCAATGGAAATCGCATTGAAAATCATACTCTTGGTTGCATGTCGTTGACAATCCACTTGAATTAGCACTAATACTGAAGCATAGATTTTTAATCACCATGTTTTGAACATATGAAATAGACGTAGTGCTAAAGAGCTCTTGCTTAACACCACATAAGTTCATAAGGACCAGATTAAGCTGTTCTTAATAGATTAGCTTCTTTTTCGAGAGTTCTCATGCGGTTGTACACTCTTTTCAACGACGTTTATTAATAATAGTCAATAGTCAATTGAGGCAATAGTTTAGCTAGTGGTAATAATAATGCTAAAAGTTTAGTTTTAGTTTAATAGTCAATTGCACCAACTCGAAATTCGAAGTAAGAACTGCGACTAACTGATTTTACGTGTATCTACGTTGCTACATGTTCGTCTATCACCATGAAGCTGCACTTGGCACTAGTCGTTAAGAGCGGGGCATTCATTGCCATCTCTGTTCATCGTGAGAGGGGCCGTGTACACGATTGGATGTGGGACTCCCGTCCAATTTAGAGGGTGACCCTATAAGATAGATCAATTATAATCGTTTAACTTTGACACACAAATGCAAGTGCTATTTCTAGCGTCCCAGCTGCTTGGGCCGACGCGTAATTTTCAACTTTTACAGAGCCCTTTGGCGATGACGACAAGCCATAGTTTTTCGATGACTAGAGGACAGGAAGTATTGGGAACCTGACAGGGTTTTAGAAGAGACTTTGCTTTATCTCATAGTGAATAGGCGCTAGTATTTACTAGACAGTAATACGGTTAACACTTTCTTGGAGTGTTAAGTCTACACATGGTTGCTGTATAAGTTTTATTCGGCTGTTATTTTGGCGTCTTAACCTTTATCAGACCCTATGATGTAGGTCGTTGGTCCACAGTTGTCCATCTTCGGCTCGGATGAAGACGACAGTGTCCAAACGTTACCCGAATGAAAGCTATATGAAAACCTCGCGTAAGCTTTAAAGTCAAAGAAAGCACTGATTACTACTACAGAGGTTAAATGGCGATCGATTTGAAAATTATTCCACCATAGTCCATTATAGAAAGATATTTCGGTCAACAATTAGAAGTTTTTTACAACTCATGCTGTGTCTATTTCGGCACTTTTCACACTTCCACATTCCATTAGGTATCTATGACCTATGGCAGTGATTAAAAATGACACAAGAGTCAATTTCGAATCAAATTACCGAGCACTGAACTCGCTTGAAATAAAGCTTTACTATATTGAGCAGAGTTTTGCGCTGCCGAAGCCCCTCCCCCCACGAAATTTGTGTTAGGTAAGCTACCTATTGATCACAGGAAGCATAAGAAAAGTTTTCTGTACGTCAAAAAGCCATCAGTAAAACAGCGACCCATATTTTGCCTATAACGAACATTCAGGGCTCCGCGTCTGATTATACAAAATGGACATCGTTGGAAAATGCCAAAGCAGTTACCGGAAATGGCGTTCCATCTGATCGGAGACAGTTTATATTCAGCGGTGCCACCGCGAACAATTCCATCAGTGAAAGAACATTTCCTGCATTCCATTTCACCCTGGCATATTTTTGATGAATTGGAAGATTCCTCTCACGAATCCCATGCCTTAATTAATTAAGCTTGCAGCTAAGGATTACATTATGCTGAAAAATTTGATATTTTGCGTAATAAAATGAGAAACTCATAGGGTTGTCAGAAACGAATTATCTCGGGAATTTTGAGGAAAACTCGTAGTTGCTGGCCGAATAGAAAGGCTAGGTAAATACGAAGTAATTTAGCTAAGGGCTCCTGCTAAGCTACGTTGTGATAATATTATTTAAAACGATTAGCTCTTACCTTTCAGATGGTTCAATTTAATGAAACTAGGCCGATATATGTCAGTGTTGTATTTTAAGTTAAGGCTGTATTGCCGAAAAACTCGAAAAGTACCGACGTGAAGTGTAGAATTAATGCAACCACAACTATGTTGAGATATGAGCAGAGCTCAGAACCTCAGCTGGGATCCGAAACCGCGATTATCCTCCCCGGCGTTCTTCATTCACCAACCCAACCAAGGCCCTTTTTTTGCCTTACTCTCAATCAGGATATTCGAAAGTTCGAAGCCCAACTGAAGTTTTGAGTTCTGTTCATTTTTCAGGACCCTTGTGTTTGTGGTTTACATCGTACCCCCGTGAAATTTCAAAGTACTGGTGTTTCAAGAAATATCAAATAGGTGGCGTGTCAATGTGCTTTTTTTGCTTGCAAGATTGCCTGGTTCAATAAAATGCAACAGTGAAGACATAGTTATTAGAATACGACAATGTTGCAATTGAGATGAGCATAGAACCTTGCTAAGTGTCGTTTTAAAAATGTCAAAATTCTAATGATGTTGTTATGCATCTATAAATATCGCGGCTTCGTCAGATGAAACTTCAACATCGGGACCAAAAAGAACACGTTTTTCCTTTTCCAGCGCAGCCCATTTGCCTCTAAGCAGAATAATTTCATTGGGACTGTACTAATGTTTTACAAACGATCTCGAGAGATCATTCCTTTTAACAAACCATTTCGTATTTATTAGCCTTTTGTGGTTAGTACCTAAGTAAATTTCTAAGAAAAGAGAGTCCTCTTCTGTTTGTTAATACTATTTGTCTCACTCTAATAGCCACAATGCCAATGAGTAGTCGCCATCCAAGTTTTAAAGTAGTGGAGGAAAAATATGTTACAAATTAAGTTTCTTCGCAACAAAGACTTCTTGTTTAACCAACTGATATTCGAAGTAGTTATGCAGCGTTGTGTTATCCACTGCCGATTTACAAACTTCGACGCTGGAGGCAGGATAATAATATATGTAGTTAACACACATTTCCTCCTCTAGGCTATAACCACCCTAAAAATTATGGTCTTTACCGGTTGGAAAGCCATCATCTTTGGACTGAAAAGTTTTTGGAATGCTTTTTTGTTACTGATCCAGAAAAACATACTGCAGAGTATTTTCTGGGCTGCTTTCTTTGAAGGGGAAAATAAGCTAACTATTCATTTAACCATAAAATAGGCGAATCCATGACATTATTAAAAAATCGTACCAATGTGACAGCACCTCTCGAGAGAGTTTCATACACGCATGTTGTGGACAGAACGTCGCCCTGAATCCATATCTAACATGTGATGTTTCCGTTCTCTTTGGAAGTGTCCCTATACCTACTGGCAGAACGTGGACGTAAGGACGAAGGTGGACGAAATGCTGCCAGTAATGAGTGAAGTGGTTATCGCGATTGATCTCAGCAATCTTCACTCCATTTCTGTACAGGTTGCTGACAATCTTGCGACCCATTTTGTGAGCATGTAGCTGAGACCCGAAGATATAAATTCCTTCTTCCGGCAACTGAAATAATGTGGGTCTTTTAGGTGAAAAACGAATTCTAGTACAAGCAGCAAATTTCTTTCCACTTTACCTATACCGAAAACTCTATCCTCGTTCTCATAAACTGTTAACGTTCTATTTTTATTACGGTTCTAATAAAACATTTTGTTCAATTGATCATTAACTATTAATTGTCAAAAAATCTTACTACATTTATATATTTGCATGGTCAGCGGTGTTATTGCTACTATTATTGTTATTATTACTATTCAAATGCTGCCATTTGGGGCTTCCTTAACCTTGTTTGTGCAATCCGCAGTGCAGTGCCCTGTTAATGGAAAAGCTGACTGGCCAGGTGGAATAGAGTTAGCATCAGAATAAATAAGGCCAACTTCCATTACTCCAGCATCATGTTTTCTATAAACTGATACTTTATACACGCCTAAGCGAATTATCAGATCGACATACCTGAGATTTGTTGTGACGACAATCTCGATACCGGAATCATCGATTATGCCAGAATACTTTCTGGGATTATTGTAGTGAATTTCTACTTTCACATACTTTTTCCCCTTTCTGCCACCTATAGGCCGACCTGCTTCAGAAGGATAATAAATCGCCTGCAAAACTGCAGTTCATAGAAAAATTATGCCACCGTCACTTATCGAAAACTTGAGGAGTGAAAAAAGTAGTACATTAGAAAAGATTTCCGAAAATACATGACATGAGGTGTGATGAAATGATGAAATGATAAAATGCTATACATGGGTATTGTCAACTTTCCTGCACCATAACTAAAAATCTCACGAATTTCTATACGATTCGTCAATACTACCTCCACTGTTCGAAGAATAATTTGATTCGGTCGAAGTAAAATAGGGAACTATCCATACTGGAAATAAGAATTGTCCAAATCTGCTTGTTGGTTCTGTTTGCATTCTGAATACCATCAGCACCATATTTTTTTCTTCTGAAGAAATCTGACAAGTCGGACAATTGTCCTTTGTGGTGCGTTTCCGTCTAATTTGGATGCAGTGAGTAATAACCATCTACCACCACTCCTGCAGCTTCTCTGAGATCTATTCATCAATCGGGTCGAAGTTCCGAATTCGTTTTTTCTTTGAGAAATAATTCCACAATGAGAGATGGTCAGACCGCCGTTTTCTTCGCTTTCTTCACTACATCATTAGTAGTGTTTTTGAACTATCCTGGAAGCGTTTTCATTATCATCTCTTGAGCAAAGTTCATAGTGCTGATTTTTCATTCTGGACATCTATAACCGGAGCGTTTGAATATATCCATTCTGTTGAGGTTGAACGTTGCGTTAAGGATAAATCCTCTTTTCGCAACCATCGTCACGCTTAGGTTGAGAAGAAAGCACATCACTCCACATGTAATGTTTTAATTAGCAAAAAATTCCTATTTTGTTATTACCTGGTTTTGTAAGTGAACTTTAGTCACTAAATAGGACACGGTATAGCTATTGAATATCGACTTTCATTGAGTGACGTTGTGACCTATTTAGCTATCCTTTCCAAGTCGTTGATTACTTTTTATGGAATAGCAATATTTTGGTTATAAAGATGCTGTACAGCTCATAAGAGATATTTGTGTACCAAAATGGCCTGAAACTTTCAAAATCGGTTTTGCCTTAGTTTAATTGAAGGTCATCATAGGTTTGATAAATGTGAGGTGTAAAGGTGTCATGTGCAGGGATGATACTTCGGAACATTCCCAAAACATGAAAATATTGTCTAATTCGTTGCACTTAATCCTTTTCGAAACCCTGCTTGTTCGTATGATCGTTCTTCATACAGTGTACTTTCGTAGACTTTAAAAATAGCTCTAAGAAGGATTTTATCAATACATAAATGACACAGGCAATCTCTGGTGAAGTGCACGCCCGTTTTCCGAACACAACAGCTTAGTTATACTTGTATTTCATTGGCAGCTTCAGAAAAAGGATTAGTGTGGCGGAACACTCATCCTCCTCATGTCATATTCAGGAAATGATCATATTTTTATCCCTGGGCGTTGGGACTGCTAGGTTTTCAAAAAAAGTAATAAGCATGGCCAAATCATTGCTGACGAGCGCGTTAACTCCACCAACTAAGCTTATACTTCTCCTGAGAAACAGTTCTTGGGTGACTTCGCAAATGCAGTTTAGGAAATAGAGTGTTCTCGCTCTACGTTTTTTTGATAACTTGGTATTTCATGTTTCCAAGTAACGCATCAGATTATTTTAAAAGCTTCTAAAGGTAGTGTAAACGCGTTGGAAATATCAAGAAAACATTTATCGTATTCTTCCTGTTCTTCGACAGCTTAATATGACTGCGATAACTTAGCACTGAACATATGTACGTCACAATTGTTTTTCGCCATAAAGCCACTGTTCCGATGTTATTGGAGTGATAACCTCTATTTTTCCAATTTTTGATGAAAGGATGCGTCGTCTAGTTTATTGAGATCTCCAATGAGTGTCGGACGCACTGGCATAATTGAATATGTCAAGGCATAAACGAGGAGTATAAATCAAACCAGCTTAGCAGAGACAGGATATCCATCTCCTGGATACACATGCCCCCAAGATGTCAGGTGCATGGCCAATTTTAGTGTTCGATTAAGCGATGCAAAAAAAGGAAACATTGTGTTCTGTCGGCCAATTCATTTCAACACAAAATATCATCTACTACCTATCAAAACTCTTGGATGGGTTATTGTGAAAAGGCTGTAGTAAATGTGTTTAAAGTTCATACCCCTTCACCTTTGGCCCAAGCTGCGAGGACACCACTGCAACTGCGTGCCTCCTTTGAGTTCGAAAGGGCATCACATTCGCCATCATATTCTCTTTGATATTCGGATTCGCAAACAAAGATCTGCTGTGAAAAAAAAATGAAGAAGAAGGAAATGTGAAAAATTTGAAAACTTGTTCATTACGTTATCTAAAACATCGGCGCATTTTACCTCAGTGAGGTGGAATACACTGTAGTTCATAAAATTTTCCTATGATAATACTTAGGGTCTTAATTAGCCCGAGGGAAGTCTATTAGAATCAAACATTTTAGAAAAAAAATTTTTATGAAAGCTCGTATCAAACAAAACTTTCACCAAAAATCGAGAATTTTCTGTTCAGCCAAACAATTTTATAATGAATAAAAATCTCAGAAAATCCCAAACTTGCATCACATGATTTTATCATATGATTTGCCAAACCCTCCCAACGGTTTACCGCCTCATCGTGGCTGGGAGTTGTTCCTCGGTGTCGGACTGCGATGTACAGCAATATGATTCGTCTCCCCGGCAAGGTCTCCCAAGCTGAAAAGGAGACCGGCGTTTCCATTAGGAAGCCTAGCTAAGAGTAAACCAATACTAGGAGCCACCACCGCCCTGGTATCAAAGTCGCTTGCTGGCAAACCCCCCTCTGATCCACAAGGACTGCGACTGCCTGTCGTGGTGACGACTTTGGGCAGACTTTGGCCAGGCTGTCCTCGGGATTCCAGAGAACCACAATGGCTTAACCAGCAAGTCTCCGAAAAATGGTGATAATTCCGGGAGCCGCACTACTATTGATGACGGGCCGTTCAAGTACCAAGTATCGAGTAAGATTTGCCATACCTCTCGTGCAAAATGAAAAAAATAATTTATAATGCCAACGTCATCGTTCTAGGGTCTATTCTTCCTTTCCGTAATTTATCCCGAAAGTGAAAGATAAACTTCCACTAAGTGCCAAAAGTTTTGCACAAAAACAAAATTTAATTCAAATTTCGATGTGATTCCATTAATACTAGTGAAATTTCACTCTAATACGTGTGCAGAATGTTTGAAGGAAAATGCTACTGTGTGATCATATGGCAAGATCAGTGCTGCAATGTGTTATTCTTCAACAAATTCGTTTTTGTATACACTCTTTCTAATGGATGTGTTTCTGTGTAGGAACTGTGCCTGGCTACTATTCAATAACTGAAACCGCAATTCTCAAGGCTTTAAAGCCAATTGGAGGTTTTTATGCTCAATTTCAAATCTTACGTACGTTCATCTTCGAATTTTTGAATATCCAGAAAACTCGAAAGAACTAAAGAAAAGTAGAAATGCTTACCTCCATGTGATGAACAACATGTTCGTTACCCTGCTGAATATATGGCCTTACCTAAACCATAGTGATTTCTCGAAATCGTTCAAAAAAGGCAAGCTCAACAATACCTACCCCAATAATGTGGTGCTTTTTTTGCGCAATGGATTTCGGTATTCTCCTTATCACACACCAGTACGTGTTCACCTGGTTGGGGACCTACCATCATGTGCATAAAAAAGCGAATACATCAATAGAATTTCGAAAGTTATCTGTGGGAACAGAACCAACGTACATGTACTCCGCCAGCCAGGATTTTAAAATGACCTTTCTCAAGTTCGACGGGCATAGTCGGATGATCCGTTTGCAGTAAGAGATTGAATTTCATATCCTAAACATGTACCTAATGTGCAGCTAATCGCTGTAGAAAACAGTTTCGAAGGTAATAAAATGGAAAAGAAAATGAAACAGAATTGCCAGCGATTAGACTTGTATTGGCGGGAAAAACAATGCTTATTGCGAATGGTTTTTTTCTTCAAGCAAACTGAATTACCTTAATCACAGAGTCGCTGTTGAAATCACGGGTGAAGACATATCCACCGGCGATAATAAAGTGAGTTGTTCCTGCCTGAAAATGAGGAAAAAACGCTATACGCTCACAAAGCATTCTGCAACATTCCGTAAACTGCCTCAAAAGCGAAGTCTTTTGGATCGCATGTGGAGAAGCGCCGTCTGAACTGGAACGCATTGCCGTATTGTTTTTCCAGTTGACAGTCTTGACTGCGATCATATTGAATTTGAAAGTTACGATCAATGTAACCATCCTGGAAACAATTACACCTTTTAAAATGGTCGGTGTACTTCACTGGACATCTTTCATGTCAGCATTTTTAAAATTTGAATGAAGGAATTTACGAGCTCATCAGATCTATCATAATACTCGGCTGCTTCCGACAACACTTGTCGCAGGAAGACAATTGCCATTTAGTTTTGCCCACAGCAGTGGCAAATGCTGCAATAAATGCTACCTGAGTGTTCAAAACTGGATACGAACTCTTAGCTGTCTTCCACTATATATGCAGACGTCAGAGGTGTTGTAGTAGCCGTGATCCGAGAATCCAATGATGACAAATCCGAGTCGAGTGTTCGATTGCAACACAGTAAAGAGTAGTGATTGGTCCGTCAAATTTACAACCCATTTCAACCGTACCATAGTTGAACCCAAACGAGTGCTGACCTCAATTATTTTAAAATTTTTCAATGCTTCCTCTAGTTCGTCCCTGCTTGTGCTGTATAGTCTAATAAAATTCCACACAGGCTATATTTTAAAAATTGGAATGTATTATCTCCATACATTTCGTGAATACAAATTGATAACGTTTTTCGCGAAGCGGTGTTTGAATTAATCACCAACGAATTCTATTCCTGACATTAATCATCACTTTCAATTACACAAAGAATGTGCAATGATTTTAAAAATAACGCTATAAACAAGTTATGGTGACTTAAAAGAAAAATTCGTGATAATTTTGTTCCATTTCAATGGACGTTAGGAGCACCGTGATTGTCACGTACTTGGATGGAGTATTATTTCGTAAGTTCCAAAGAAAATGCGGTTCTAAGCACAAAAGCTTTTTCATTGTGCATACACATTTTCACCGTTTTCTGCAAGAAAGTTCATCGAAAAATCTACTGGGAAATAACTTACCTCCTCACCACATTTTGCACTGCTCAAAAATATGGCCAATATGAAAATCGTTAAGCGCATACTTCGGAACCTTCTGTAAAGACCTGGAAGAAAAAATGATTTTTTTCTAAATAGAATTTACACACAGATGTTCCATAAGATTATGCATGAAGTTACTTTGTATGTGTTCTTAGAGCAAAAATCATCGAAGCCGAACAATCATCGGAACAGCACATGAGATAACGTGAGCAAGTGAAATAACAAGCATGTGTTGGAACAACCGATGTGACGTATCTCTGTGAATATTGAAAATCCCAGAATAGCGACGAAGTGTCAAGAACACTCGGTTCTGCCTTGAGCATATCATGCTTACCGATATCATTTGAATGGCCTGTGTGATAGACAAAAAATTCCTAATCAAATTGTAGTTTGAATATTTTGGACTCTCTATATTGCTAAAAATTTGGTACCGATAGGCCATACACGATTGTCCACTCCGATTTCCAATCGGATTTCTTAATAAGCGAAAAAGCAGCCACGAATTGATGTTCTAAAGCAAATTACTTTTAAACAAACTTTGGAATAAATGATGGATGTTAAATTACAGAAAAAGTTGGAAGAATACCTTAACAGTACTTCCAGTAGTTCAACGCAGCAAGCACTTTATGTAGTTTTGGCTGGTTCACAGTCTGTCCACCGTATTATTTTTCTTTACATTTCTTGCACTGGTTCTACTTTTGCTTTACTTCATGCTATAAAATTACATGTGACACCAGCATTGGTGATGTGTTTTAGTTAAGAAACAAGTTAGCATGTGCTGATGGTCTTGACTCTGCTGATCCACCATCGGTTAAGATTAGAACTTTCACCAGCTGTAAGGGCAGCTCCACGGATGCAGTAACGTCGTTGATGAACCAAATAGCCAACAAGTTACTCAAATATATCCCAACCCATCTCACAAACCTCCAAATATTCTTGCACCGTGCACACAACGCCTCTCCCAAAAGCGCTTACATAATGGAATCCTTTAGTGCTACGATCACTTCTACAAACGTGTTGAATGACTACGCTATGAAAGCTATCCTTGAGCAACTCGTGCAGCACGAAGAAGCAATAAAGGTGCATTACTTTTCGATTCGGCAGCTCACGGCCTTCTTGAAGGAGTGCATGAGCTGCTCAATATTTAGATAATCTGGAAAATATTGCGCACGAATGAGAGGAATAGCCATGGAACAGCATCTGGTACCAAGACTTGTGATTACGCTCACGTCTAAAATTTAAGCCTCGTACTCGATCACCGGCCACTACTCTACTCTAGGTATATGAACAGCAGTTTCGTCGTCTATTCTATTCAATAAAAGATGAAGAAATATTATGAACTGATAAACCATCAGTCAGATTGCATAAATTTCATCCGGCAGAAACCGAAGGGTAGGTGGTTCTCTTTGTTGAGTGTTTATATTGTCCTATTCAAAGTCGTTGAAACACCAAGTACCGATTTCAAGTAACAAAAATGTACTAGTTCATTGCCTTTTCTCTTTATAGGTATTACGCTATTGTCTTGGTGAGGTTAGGAAATGTTTAACTGAATAGTTGCGTGTCATTTTCCTTTTCAGGCTCTGAAGAAAACAAAATCGTCGAAACGTAGACGATTGTGAACAAATAGTATAATAACAACCTTGTGTCCACTCGCTGAAAACAAGCAATTGTTTTAAGAAATACTTTATCATCAATAAGAAATTATTCAGCTATAGAAGACGCGAGATATTAGCAACATTAAGATGATTTCAATCTGTAGAACATGGGTATAATAAGGCCGCAGCCAAGGAATCAACAATTTCAAGAAACACTTCAGGTTGAGGTGACATCTCAGGAACTTTATCTTTTGTTATTGAACTCATCTTGCAAATTTCTAAGTTACAGCTTTATCGCTTATTAGTGTTTTACCAGCATCATCATCGAGTTGCTAACGATAACTGATGCCCGAAGAAGCAGCAATGTTCCGAAAAGCACAGAAAAGTAAAAACTGTGTTACTAGTCATGAATGTCCATGGTTGGGAGCTTATGATAATTAGCACTAACAAAAGAAACTGGAGTGTTGCAGCTGTATTTGCTTAACTTGTGTGATAAAAAGTGCAATAATAGAGCACCTAGAAACTGGAAAACTCTCACTAAACTGAAAATCGTGATGAAGACTAAACTCATGTTGATAACTCATCTACATCACCAATGCCATTGACTCCTAGACTGTTGCGGGTTCCTAGAAGGAAGCAGTTTCTCTCAGGTGTAGTAGACAGCGTCTTCTTGTTCAAACTAGTCTTGTAACACTGTATTTGACCATGACACGTGGTTTGGTCTTGGCCCTAGTGTGCAAAACAATATTTATTTCGATTAACGAACAAACATCAATTTCAAAATGTTAATTTCGGTAATGATAACAACAAGGTATAATAATACCGAAGCCGCACGTCAAAACTTGGAGGAGCTTCGTGGATGATGGAAGCGAGGAAACGAATTGTATGTGGGAAGTGCTGTGATCCGCACAGTAGACGTGAAGACGGATCAAATAAAGTGAAATAAAAAGATGAAAAAATATGGAAAAAGTAGGAAAATTTATGTAAAAAGAAAAAGATGGAATAATTAACAATTCTTCATTAAGTTTTGCAAAATGGTAACCGCATTGTGTCAACTAACATGAGCTCGTCAACTCCAATGTAGTTATTGGCCATTAAATTTCGGACTTCGAAAGCGATCTGTAAAGTGCTGACAGAAATAGATGGACTGATAATTCTTCTGTTCTATTTTTAGATTTCCATCAGTCAATGAAAAATTGATGGCTTACAAATTTTCAAAACACTTCTTCTGAACAACCTTCGGCGGCGATTTCCGCTTTATAACCACCAACAAGAGAAAAGTTACAACAGTAGCTCTCAATCTGACTAGTAACGGTTGTCACTATCATCTTCTTCTATACAAGTAATGTTTTATGGTCCACTGTTTTTCACCACTCACGTATTGGTATTCTCCTCTATTAAGAAGAGTGCCTTCCCTAAACCAGCGGCGTGAATCCTTGCCAATCTTCGGGGCCTGAAATGATTATTGAAGAAAATCGTGTCATTTATTCAAGTTTAACGGTTTGTTATGAGATCGGTAGGATTTGATCACAACTATGGTTTTTCACTTAAAAATAAGGATCCTTTGCATCTTTCCTCAAACGAAGAAGTGAATAATTTGAATTACATTGGATAAATTCGTAAGAGTTAGCAAAGTCTCATTCTCTTCAATACTAATGAATCACAATGTTTAACGTTTTGTTTTCTGCCTTCTATAATTTTCATGGCAGGTTACTAAGCGAAATACAACCACAACGTTGCTGAGATATTTGCAAAACTCTGGACCGCAGGTGTCTATGGTGGGGAACGAACGCGCTATTATCCTTTCCGGGGAGTAACGCGTTCACCACCACACCATGCGGGTCCTTTGTTTCGCACGTCTCTCAGCTATTTCTATCGATCTTTTTGCCACAGCAATCACTAATGAATCATTTGCTGTCCACTGCACCACTAAGAGAGCAAGGTATCCTCATGAGATGATCGCATTGCACGCAGTATCCTGTGTTGTCGGAAGCAGCCGAGTATTATTATAGATGCATCGTTCTTACAGCTCGGTATTAATGCGGTGTAAAATGCATAAAGAACTAGAACCATAAGAGCAATCTTTTTCTGTATGCAGTTCTTAGTTTTTACGAGTGAGCTTACTTCGAATATCATTTCTTCCTCTTTAGTGTCCTTCCTTTTTGTATATAGTCGAAACAGTGATTTTCGATCTACCTTAAAACACTTCTTTACAAATGCTTGTTTGAGGCTTTTTTAGCAAAGAACTAACCTTGTGGTACGAAAATATGAAATATACTTTTCGATCAAGGTAAAATGAGGGTGTGGACAAGCGAGAAAAATCTACTGGTCCAGAAACGAAAGCGAAAGAACCACCTGAAAATCGTCAGTTGTAGCAGTTTTCAAAACTAGATATATAGGGAGACTTTTCTTCCAATATTTTAACTTCATTCACTTCCCACATTTTTTACAAATATGCGGAAATCGTGCTACCTGCAAACACTATGCTGATAAATAGTTACTAGTACTTTGAAGTGCAACACTCACTTTCATTAAATGGAAGTTTACTGGCATCACCTCGTATTCCAGTCAACGGATTACCTACAGGATGGGAAGAGATGATCCACGATGAAGCAGTAGCGTAGCTGAAGTGTCTTATCATTGTGAGTTAACCTAATAAAAAGAGCATTCTGAACTTACTCTGTACAAGGCTGAGTCTTATCGTACTGACAATTAAGCACATCGCAGCCATCAGCAAAACGCTCGGCTCTATTGATAGGAAACCCATCAGTGGTCAGAGTGTGCAGATGCAGCGATGAATTAGTCATTGGGATGAGGAAGGAATTTCGTAGCGGACCCTGCAATTAATTCTTTTTTTCGGCTATTCTGAAAAGGAATTTGTTCTAAATATGTAAAAAGGCTACCATCGTTGTAACGATACCCAACGGCTGTAGATTGGTGAAATCCGCTGGAATGGTCTCTAGTTTGTTTAAGGGGGTTTGCTCGTTTACTATGAAACTAGTAACTGGATGCAGAGGAGTTCCCATGTTGGATGAAAAATGATCCGGCTGAAAGTTACCGAAAATTTGCAAAGAATAACTCACAATCCATATTTATTGTTAAAAAATGCATACAAGAACAAGAGTAATTGAATTGGCCTGGAAATTTTAGATATTTGAAATTCACGTTTAGTTTGCGAAGCGCTTGCGATGAGACCTGTTTTTTGTTTGGAGTCCTTAAATATCGTAAATTTGAAAGCGGTTTGTTCAAAAAGAAATCGTATCTGCGAAGCCCGAACTATACAAGTCATGAAACACATTCTACTAGTGAAGTCATAAAAATGCTCTACCGAGTTTTCTCCAGTACTTGCTTCCTTATCGCATAATTCTGCAGTGTATTCAATGTCGTCAATAATAGCAAATCCACCTTGTAAGTCAATGGAATGGAATACAAAGTGTTCCGCGATAATGAAGAGCTAAACGTAATTTGATTCAGCTTCGAACACTTTCTCTTCAAAGAAAAATCGCAGTTTTGTTGGAAAAATATGAGCATGTATTCACGTTTCGTTTCTTCATTTCTCCTTAGCAATTGTGATTGTACATGACCATAATAGTCTTGTAAAAATATAATTTATGCTATGTTGCAGTTTTAAAAAAAATGCTTTAACCTTTAACAAATTTCAATGCTTACACGGTGAGGAGTACAAGTGGTTTCAAAGTGCTCTTGCCTGAAATGGAGTTGAGCTTTCCTTGGAAATTGTTACATACACTGGCCCTGGATCGCCAGTTTCGATATCGCTACTGCAGAAGTCGTACTCGGGAAATGTTTTTGAAATCTTTTTCGCGCATACTCGTAGTCGAACTTCAGGTGATGACCAATACCTGAGCACTAAAGAATAATTTTCAATAACCACTGTTTTTTCTAGAAAAACAACTTGAAGCGCAATTGTCCTGGTCCTATTTGGCACATAATTTGGTCAGATGCCAATATTGCCTTGGCTGTTGGAAGTTGTACTGCATCAGTAGCTACGATAGCGTACATCCCATCTGGAAGAAGAATTGTGTTATTCATTAACAGTTTGAAATATAAGCCTCCCATTGTGCAGTAAATGGTAAAGGTCTAATGTCTTCTGGTAAAGTAATTTTCCGCAGAATAGGTGCGTTATACTCTAACGCTAATAAGAAATTTGCTTACTGAAATACCTGGAATTATATGTGTGCCTGTTGCGACATGCATACGGTGCTCATCAAGTGCTCCAGAGCCCTGAAAATACCACTGTTTCTTTGAGAAAAAATATCCCGGCAGTGCACTTCACCTGAAACCAATCCATTTCGTCGACAAAAAGGCCTTCAAGGTTGCGCCATCTACATGTGGGGTCAAATTGAAAACATGAAAGCTCTGACGCATCAGAAATAGGTGGAAGCGATGAGGCTCCAAGAGCTGCAAGTACTGCAGTTGTATGTTAGTCTATCATCGAAATAGCAGTAAAAAAAAGTTGTTAGTAGTTTCTGAAACAGCCCTAATACTAAAGGTACCGCGCACCCATCATGTTATGTGAACAGCGCCAATTATTGTGGAAAACTGGCTTGGAGAATTTACGTTTTCCAGAAGCTTTAATACCAATATAAGCAATGAACATAAAGAACATAAGAATTATTGTGGACAAAATGCTCTTGCCTAGGTTTTGTAAGTTTTAAGAACATAAAACAACAGCTCGGCGTTAGTTTAATAGACATGATCAGGACCTACCAATGCCTAAGGATGGGCTCACATTGCCACCCAGAAGCGTCTCCTTTCCCCTAGCTCTACGAGCACTTTCCAAATATGATGGGGGTGTCATCATAGATTCTTGTGGTGCGCCCATGATAGGTGCAGTACTCATGTCAAATGGCGAGCAACACACTGAAGCATCCATATTTGTGAGATCCAAAAGTGAAATACACTGTGAAAAATAATGACCAGTGACTCTGAACAAATGCGTTGCAAGAATCCACTTGCAGAACACTCCTTGATTCAATTGCATACCACGTGGATCCCAGTCTAAAAAGTAATTTGTGTAAACATTAACGGAACGCGGAATTCTTATCCCTTTCGAGACAAAGCCTATTTTTCGAAAAGTCACAAAAATTGCCCTAACACTGGAGTGTTTCAGGAGTTCAGCACTCTAGGCATCTATGGAATAGACTCTGGTCTATCCCATTAATCTCACGCACTATTTTTGTGCAGTGTACTTTTAAACTAAGATATTCTTAAAAGTTGGATTTTAAAATGATGGCAGCAAAATTTAAAACTTTAAAATTTTCATCTGAAGCGCGGCAGCTGCAAAGAAGCGATACGCTGAGGAATATCATCGTGTCGTTGTGTTAGAAATTTCGCTTTTCCATTTGCTTTCGATTCCGACATATAGTCCTTGAAGTAATAAATCGAACAAATTAGTTGTGAGAAGTTCCAGAAAATCAAAATTATATCTTAGATATTTTTTTCATCTAAGCAACGAATTACAAATTCCAAGAGCTTTCATTTAATAAGCAAAATCCCCAATGAGCTCTGACATGTCTATTTAGAGTTGAAACCGGACATTATTTACCTGTTGAGTGACTCCTATTGAAGTCCTATAGAGGTTGCGTAAGGGTTAAATAAGACGGCTCAAATTTAATTTATGGAATTTCTTAATGAAATTCACAATCACTTTGACGGATTGTAATTGGTTCTTCTTGAAGCTTTTTGAAGCTGGATTGTTTCCAGATCGTCAACACACTCCCGGAAAGTTTTCGAAACCTATGAATATTGTGATCTTAAGAGATTGTTTAAGTAATGAGTCCATATATTATGTTGTGAGAACTAAAAGAAACGATCTGCATAGAGCAATAAATTAAATTCAAATTAGAGGGAGCAGTATTAGAATTCAAAATGTCTCTGGGAATCCACAAGAAACAAACAAGTTAGAAAAGATAGTAAGCATAGCTGAATAGACATAATTGTGAATTTACTTGCTGCTTTCTTGATTAACACACATAAGGTTGTTACTACTTATTACTTATTCACAAGAGTTGACGTTTCGGCGGACTTCGCCTTCTTCGGAGCCTGGGATCTCTCTGAAATTATTCTAAGCACCACACTTAAGAACTCTATTCTTGTTTGAGAACCGAAACTGAGAGCGCTTCTCGATTATTTCTAATAATTATGGAAGGCTGACTCTTTGAAACTTTAAAGTGTGGGACGAAATGAAAGTGGTCTAATGAGATTAGTATTTAGAGATATTTGGATTAAACGTAGTCTTATTGAGGACAAAAATGGGCGCACCAGCGCTCTACACGCACTATTTACACAAAACGGTTCGTCACGTTCTGGCCTACAAGAGAAACTGGAATCGAGGGCACGTTTAAAATAAGACAAGCACATTTGTAGTTAGGTAGAACAGATCTGTTCGACATGAATCTCATTATGCATAGCATCAGCATGCAGCATGAACACCATTTTCTCATAAGAAAAAATAAAGTCTGCTTTGTATTCGTTGGTCCTTTGAGCGCATGTGATTTTGGTGTAGCCTAGTAATATTTTTGGTAATACATAGGGACGGTTTATTATCGCCTGGAACTAAAAGGATACCATGCATTCTCTATGCAAGCTCGACAAGCTCGCATACCCAGAAGAAATGAAACAAAGGACGCGTTTCTACTGATCACGAAATAATCACCGAGGCTATAACATTTTAATACGCAAACATGGAGAAGCATATCCTCTCTAGTCGTAGCGAGCTACTGGAATATAGAATGACCACAGCGATAAACTGTCTTTGTAAAGCATCCTAATTAACAATAGAAGCGCCCATTGAAAACTTAATGGTGAAAGTTTTAAAGATTGCAGCAAAATAAACCTTAAGCAGCTAACGATAGCAATGTTTGATAAAGCTGCAAAGAATGGGAGGCTTAAGTAATAACTGCAGAGCTTTCCCAATCGCAAGAGCAAGTTGTTTTCTCCCCATAACTGTGCGGCGAAGTAACTGCATTCAAAGGGGCTAATGAAGCCACCTGAAACTTCATTAATCTAGAAAAATTTCAGTTCAGTGCTATCACAGGAGTGATGAAGATCTATTTTCGGCGGTTGTTTCTCTCAAAGTTAGACCTAATATTTAAATGATAGAAATCAGTGCAAAACACAGCCCATGAAGAAGGACCACCTCAGAAATCGACGCGAACATACGCGGTCCGGTCGCGTACGACCTCCGGGCATTCATCCCTGCTACTCATTGTAGGGTTTTAGGCATTTATCCAAAGAGCCTCAAAAAGTTTTCGCGATTCTGTTTTAGACTCCTGTGTAAGGATATTGACTTTTACTTCAAAATCGTCTCCGCTATGCTTTTGTATCCTATGCGTGCCTAGTGGGGTGCTTCGTCCTAGTTTTCGTTTGCCATCTAGGTGTTCTTTTATACGGATACACAAAGGTCTGCCCGTTTCGCCAATATATTCATCTCCGCAATTGTTACACGAGATCAGGTATATCGTACCTGAACTCATGCAATCACCGTCCCTGCCGTAAGGGCAAGTTACGCAATTTGTTGTTTCAAACAGACGGTCATACAGGCGCTTGCGAACTAATTGGCGACGTAAAGTAGCCGGTGGTATTTCAACTATCGGTACCGATTCCTCTAGACTTGCCCTTCTTAAGCATCGTTTTATAGCCACGCTTACTTCATCGCTTATAAAAGGCAACATAAACGGGACTTTCTTTTGGCCAAGTGTTGCGCGTGGGCGCGTCGTTCTCCTTCTTAACTAATCTCGTGGGGTTACTATTTCGTAGCTATTGGAGATGACTATTTGCCGGCCAAGTAGCGCGATTCTTCCTTTAGTTTCCCGGTAGTGCACACAGAGGTGGCTGTTTGAAACATGTTTCTCACAAGCGCCCTCTTTGCGTGTGAAGGGTGGGAAGAAAGGAAATGAACGAGATATTCTTGTTACTTTGCTTTCGGTACCACTTTGTCATGTAACCGCTACTTGATGGGTTTACTTGCACGTTTAAAAACGGAAGCCAGTTCTTTCTCGGTTTCCCCAGGGTGAGCTTTATGTACTCAGACTGCTCGTTCAATAATTCAAAGCACTTGTCCATCCCTTACTGCGTAGAGAAGACGACAAAACAATCATCTACATATCTGCAGTAGAGTAGTGGCCAGTGATAGAGAACAGAAGGTTCTATTTAAAACATAAACACAATGGCAAGGCTTGGTGTCAGTCGCTGTTCCATTGCCAACCCTCTTATTTGCGCGAAATATTTCCTAGACCATCCGAAAATTTAGCAGTTTATGCACTCCTTTAAGAGAGCCATTAGCTGCTGGATGGACAAGCCATGCATATTTATTCTTCCTTCATGTTCAACAAGAAGTTCGAAGATGGCTTGCATTGCAGAGTCATTCGACACGTTGGTGTACAGTGCGGTAACATCGAAAGACACCATCAGGTACGCGTTATTAGGAGACGCGTTACATAGACATTCTAGGAACATTTGGGTGTTTGTGAGGTGAGCTGGAATGTGGTTAAGCAACTGGGTAAGTATTAGGCCTAAAAACCAGGTCATCTCTCCTCTGGGGTCCCTCTACACAGCTGATGACGGGTCTAACCTTAAAGGATGACGGATTGGTTGACGCAAGACCATCAGGTGATAACAACTTATGTGTTTTAATAAGTAGGTATAGGACGGGAGATGTTGATTCATCCATTTTAAAATGCGAAATAACCGATGATTTTAAACCTGCAGCCTTTGCCACACTGACCCATTGATTGCTTAGCTTTCGGTATTGACTTCCTTTTGAGAGGATGGGCGATAGAGAGTAGCATCACTAAGATGTTCCTCTGTTATCTCAACATTCAGCTGGCGAGGGATAACTACGAACTCTCACCCCTTATCACTAACAGACAATCTTATTGTTTTCGAGTTTATTAATTCTCTAATTTCCCGCATGCCACATTTTTGTGCGGCTGTGAGGTTAGAGATAAACTTTCTATCGCGGTAGTGATTAAAGGTAATGAGAAGGCCGTCCGAAAACAAGCGGAATTTTATGTTAAATCCATCTTTAGGGTCTTGCTGTCTAAAAAACGCCTAGAGAAAGGAGATGGTGGTAGTGACGCCGCCTCTTGATTTTTATCTCTATTTGATGTTTCTTGTTTGGCCTGATAGCGGAGTCGATCTTGAAGCTCATAAAGGTTGCGTGCTGTCCTATGCAGGGTCGTTTTAGAAATGGACTGTGATGGTGCAAAACTTGGGCCCAATTCTAATAGCGAACGCGCACTCTCAGGTAGTAATTTTTGAACTCTTCCCCCTTATCACTAACAATCACGGTGATCCTAGACTTTCTTAGTGCATTATCAACCTCATTTTGACTATTATCAGAAGCGTAAAGAATTTCTTTGCGGCTGTTTCTTGAAGCTGAGACATGTGAATTACTCAAAGGTTTTTCGAATTTTCCTAGTAAGGTTATTTTGGCTTTGGACCTAATAAAATCGCATATCAATATTGACCCACCAACTATTCTCGTCCAAAGGCGATCTTCCAAATACAAAGCACAAAAATGTTTCTTTATCGCACACTCCTTCATTATGGCAAACATCACGTTCTGCTTGCTTCGTAGTGCAGCTCGAAGTAGTTCCATTTCGATACCTTGTACTTGTTGGCTGCCCTCTGGTTGACCACATATCTCGTGAAGTCGCTTTCGTTTTATAAACTTCAGCACGACTCGATGTTGAAAACAGCGGCGGAGAAAGTTGATTTGCTGTCTAGCTAAAACATTCTTTTGTCTTAGTGACAGTGCTTCTTTCACAAGTCGAAAGTATTTTGCTGGCACATCCTGCAACAGTTCCCAGGATCGACTTTCTATTAACCTCGTCATTGGAATATGAATGCGTCGTTTTCTTGTTCAGCAAATGCGAGGTTGTTAAACAGCACACATTTACTTCTACAGAAAAACATAATACGATACAACAGTAGCTGAACATCACATCATTTCCGCACCATCACAGCCCATTTCTAAGACGACCCTGTGTAGGATAGCATGCAGCTTTTATGAGCTCCAAGATCGACTCCGCAATCAGGCTAAACAAGAATCATCAAATAGAGATAAAAATCAAGAGGCCCTCATACTACCACCATCTCCTTTCCCTAAAACGTTTTTTAGACAGCAGGACCCTAACGACGGAGTTGACATAAAATTATGCATGTTTTCGGACGGCGTTCTCAAGACCCTTAATCACTACCGCGATAGAAAGTTTATCTCTAACCTCAGAGCCTGACAAAAATGTGGCATGCGAAAAATCAGAAAATTAATAAACTCGAAAACAATAAGATTGTCTGTTAGTGATAAGGGGGGAAAGTTCGTAGTTATTCCTCGCCAGCTGGATGTTGAGATAACTGAGGAACACTTAGTGATGCTACTGCTGCCCTCTATCTATCAATTTTTGGGCACATTTAAAAGAAGATTTAAGAGTATTTCGGCGGAAGACCAGTGGGAAAACAAACGTTGAACATTCTCAGAAAGTTGCACTAAAAAGTATGTTATTTAGCTGTATGAGTTTGTGTATAAAGTACTAACTACAATACTGCACCTCATCTACTTCCGGTAGTCGAACTCCGTAAGATAGGCTCAAGCTCCGTCGTTTCATTTTTGCTCTCACATTCCAAATCTACACATTACCGTAACAATAGATGACCATTAATACATCCAATCTAAGGTTAGGAGTGTGTCTATGTGCTGAATACATTAACAACTCTTAGAATCCTAGAATGGACTAGGCCTGTACCTGAAGCTGTGACTGATTTTTAAGACATGGTCTTGTTTTAATTTAGCAATCTGTCCTCCTGTCGCAATAAAAGGCGGTGATCGTATTCTCTGTGGAAATCAGGAGTCTCCATCTCGCATGCTCTCCTTTCTACCAATGAACTTCTCCTTGATTCGTAGAGTATACTAAGTTGTGTAGATTCACTGTTTCCAGGGCGCCTCAAGAGCTATGTTTTAAAAATTGGATCGCATTTTACTGTAAACACAAATGTATTAATATTTGTTCGCTTCTTGGAGCAAAATTATTCCGTGGCATTTGTGTACGGTGATCCTACCTAATTGAATGATACACAGGCGACCTTATTTAAATATGACATGCGTGTTGCGACACTACTTCCAATCGCATGATTGTTGTGCAATCGACGATATGTTCGGCTTCGGAGATGGATTCGATGCCAACTTGAAAAACTGTCAGCATCTCATCTAATCAACGCCTTGGATGTTGGTTGAGCTTCGTATTCTTTGTAAACCCTACATGGGCACGCTAGAGCTTCTCAGATCGTCACCATGAGCACTGCTTGAGGCTTTCATACACGAGAGGAAAGTTTGTTGCTTTTTCCACTGGATTCTTCTATGATAGCACTGTTTCCTGTGACTAGCCGACTACTCGAAATATGTCGAAACCCCATAATCGTTTGTGATAACTGAAAAGCAAGTAAAAAGTGTTTAAAATTCTCGTGTTTTGCTTTGATTTTTTGCATTGATATTTCCATTAACATTAAGATAACAGAAGACAACAGGAATCCCGGAGTGCAGACTCAATGGCTTGTATAAGGGCGAATTTCAGTAAGAACGGTTAATTGTCAGCTGTTATCTGCCATGGCCAACGGTCGCAATAACAAGAAAAAAGTCATTCCATCGGTACATCGTCCGCCACCAACATCCACGACGGAGAACAACTTTCCTGCCACTAAGTTCTACAGAAGGAAATTGAGGCATCGCAACAAACGTGTACTTATTATTGTTCCACCCAAGGACGCAATCTTGGAGATCAAAAGATCCGTGGAAAACTTTGGAGTTCCGATACGGGAAGTTGGTCCCTTGCCTGGAGAGAACGATTTGTTCTCTATAGTTGAGGACGCATATGGACTAGCCAAGCAGGAGCTCAGAATGAATGTCAGTGTTATCGCATCCGATATTTTTAAACAATGTGCTAAAGAAGGTAAAAAACGTTGAATGCCGAAGACGTACAACGTGTATTACCAAGCCGTTGTTTTAAAAAGTCTGTGGATTCGACTAATAAATAGTCTTTGTTGATTGTGCGAAGAGCTTACAGCAGAGTAGAAAATTCTCCACTACCTGTTCACATTGTTTAGAAATAATAGTGAGAAAATCCGTATTTCTTGCATTTTCCAGAAATCAAAATGCAAAATTTTCGAAGGCTAGAAGGAAAGCCTGAAACGTTGTAAGGTCTAGCCAACGCATAAACCGAGAGAAAACTGTTCATTCTGCTTCTGTTAACATAGTTTTAACTACTTCTTCACAAATATATTAAGCAAAAAGTCAATGAAGAATTGCGCTACAACACACGTTATTGGTGTGTACAGCAGATGGGTGCCAATTTTTGTCACTTTACCTTAACCGATCAACAAGTGGTAAACAATGTCACTCCCACTACCAGCCGGTTAAATAAAACAGCAGTGCAATTTGTCTAGACAGTTGTAACCTCTTCAGTTGCACTGGTAGGCCTAAAGGAGGTTGTTACATCAATTTCAACCGTGGTTAACATTTCGGATTATTCGCCTGCTAAGGAGCGCTAATGCTTCGAATTGGGTGTTCACAATTGTTTTTCGCCCTTGTGACATCTGTGTTCTCGTAGTCGGATTGAGTCGAATCCAATGGAGTGGACATCGCACCTCATTGCGATATACTCTCTTGTAATTGGTGGAAAATTTAGAATTTATTGGGTTTACCCCGAAATTTTCGCGAACCCCTCCCCTTCCTTGTCCCTAGAATGACCAGTAACCCTAAAGTGCCTGTAGAAAACTGTTGGAAGAGGAAAATCGATAGTCCAGGGAAAGTTCACATACTACACACGCTCTGTAAAGCAACGTTGCAATTGGGAACGTAGGCAAAGTTATTTTTTGTGATGAAATTTTGAAGTTCGGTAGGATGTATTTAATTCATTGAGAACTACACTTCCCCAGACGGTTTGGCGTAGCTGCGCCGGTAAAGCAAAGGATTAGAATGGCTCAGTAAAAGTCACTGTCATCTCGATGAACTGATTTACCATTTTTACTGCCGCTCATGTTATCTATTAGGACCACATTCAGCTACATGCTGAAGACAATTTTTCCTAATTTTTTAATGATACGTTACCGCATAGATTTCATTAGTTTTGTTGTTTTGAAGCCGTCATTCGAACAATAAGGTGAGTATCTCCTGTGTTCGTCTACGAGCCACTCTGTTCACTACTCACCGACAGATTGAATGCTGTATGAATGAAGACTTGCATGGAGTACTAACATAGCTATGCAGTATCCATTCCCAGGGTGCACGTAGCGCAGTGGTCAGCGGCGCCCTGCAATACACATGGTCGATCAAACCCCGCGCCAGTGGCTCACTAAGCCTTCAATCTTTCCAGGGTCAACAAACTGGTACCAGACTTGCTGGAAGGTTAGCATTACTGACTCGATACATCGGTTGACCATCTCAAGTCATAGTATAGGGCAGATACGTATTCATTCACCTCCAACGAAACTATGAAATCGAATGCATGGCGCATTCTAGGAGATTATTCAGGGCTTAGAGCTTTAAACTTTATCCTTAATGTTTTTTTCTGGCCTTCTAAACAGAAAGTTACTGGCGATTTTAGAACAAAGGAGACCTTTCCAAGATTTCTAATAGGTCAATCTATTGGAGACGATTAGGATAGGAATGGAAACAACCTCAAAGGATCTAGTGCTTCCTGTAAAGTGTGTTGAAGAAGACTTAGCGCTGAGGAGTAAAGAGACGATCGATTTTTTAAAGAGACTTCGCGCATGTTCTTTCCCAAACGTGTATTAACAATTAGCCCATTATAAAACGTCTTTCTACTATCTTCACCATATCGGAAAGTGCTCTATTGAATGAGTGAATGGCACTGCATTATCTCTTAAAAAAATAAAATAAGGAAGGAGAGTTTGTACAGGATGTCGAGCTGCGATGTAATGCAGGAGTAATGCTGCGGTAGAACGGTCTGTTCTCTCTTCCGAAGTCCATNTATTCTGATGGGAGGGGCACATTACGCTTCCACGTGAATTCTGTGCGGTCGGTCTTCACGCGACATACTCAGTGTTTTATATATCTCATAAAATGCGGTGAGTGCGCAGAGTTATGCTAAATGTGATTGAAATTTTGGTTTAGCGTCTTCTCTGTTTGGTTATGGAGGTGTTTGGCCGAGTGGATTGCTGTCAACTTGACCCTTCCAGGCTCTGAGGAAGGCGAAATCCGCCGAAGCGTCAGCTTGTGCGTAAATAAAGAAATAAAATAGCACCTCGTGCTTGCTGAACAGAAGTAGAAAGATATTTATGGTAAATTAATATTCCTAAAACCTTCAAATTCCTTAAATGATGTTTACAAGGAAAGAACACCATGTTGTTTTTCTCCATGAGCTCGAACTTCGACTATTTTTAGGGAAGGAAATGGAAGTATCGTTAGACGCATCACTAGGGGATTATTCAGCTCCTAGAGCTTTACACTTTAACCTTAATGTTTTTTTTGGCCTTCTAAACAGAAAGTTACTGGCGATTTTAGAACAAAGGAGACCTTTCCAAGATTTCTAATAGGTCAATCTATTGGAGACGATTAGGATAGGAATGGAAACAACCTCAAAGGATCTAGTGCTTCCTGTAAAGTGTGTTGAAGAAGACTTAGCGCTGAGGAGTAAAGAGACGATCGATTTTTTAAAGAGACTTCGCGCATGTTCTTTCCCAAACGTGTATTAACAATTAGCCCATTATAAAACGTCTTTCTACTATCTTCACCATATCGGAAAGTGCTCTATTGAATGAGTGAATGGCACTGCATTATCTCTTAAAAAAATAAAATAAGGAAGGAGAGTTTGTACAGGATGTCGAGCTGCGATGTAATGCAGGAGTAATGCTGCGGTAGAACGGTCTGTTCTCTCTTCCGAAGTCCATTTAAGGATAAACCAGTGGCAAGGATCACTGTCGTCTTGCTGGAAAAATGAACACTTAGAAGTGGTAATGGCCTGGGAATGAACTAGCAATGATTTAAAGACTCCAGTGAAGAAACATCTTTCAAAACGTCAAATGATAATTGCACTGCGGTTTCAATGAAGTCTCGAAGACAGTCACTCAAGAAATTCAAGACCGAAGTAGTGAATTTGGAGACGAAAAAAGTGAGTAATCCATCCATTCATCTTTGCAAATGCCGAGACAATGCTATCATGTTTAGAGAAAAATAAACCTTGGGTGTGAATTTACAAATGTCGCTCCTGACAATTTTGTACAGATGATTGATTCTTTCTCATTCATTCCCATGACCAACTTTTTATTGACTTCGGCACTGATGAAATAATTCTTTATATTCTTGTTTAGGAAACAAAAAAATTTATTGCATCCCTTTATTTACGAACAAGCTGACGTTTCGGCGGATTTCGCCTTCCTCAAAGCCTTGGAAGGTCAAGCTATACTATTTCATAATATTTCAGCTGTCGCATGGTTGTTATATAGCATACATTTCCTTGCGTACAAAAACAAGTACAGTAAAACAGTAGCTGACGTGTCTTATTTCGGGGCCTTATTTCCTTGACGCCGAAAGAGCCTCCAAGTTCTCAGCGTTGGGTAGGACGAGTACGGAGAGGCTGCTAAAATCTCAGGGCCAATGGAAGCTGACCGGATTGCAAAGAAGTAAGGTGACGATCTGTGCCTACAATGCACGTATACACCGTATACCCGTATACATGCAAGGTTCTACTCGATGGAATAGCAGTAAGACCGTGCTAATGTTCAAGAATGGTGATCTCCACGTTATTGTGAACTATCGCCCAATCTGCTTGCTGCCTGTCGTCTACAAACTTTTCACTCCAATTACTCTAAACAGGATTGGCGGAAACTGGATGAAAGGCAACCATGTGAGTAAGCAGGGTTTCGAAAAGGATTTAGTACGGTAACCACATCCACACGGCTAAAAGGCTCACTGAAGTTTCGCGAAAGTGCAAAGGACCGCTGCGTCTCACTTCCATCTATTCCAAGAAGGCCTTTGACTCAGCTGATATAGAAGCAGTCATGGAAGCCCTTGATAGCCAGCGAGTTCCTACCAAGTACACAAAGATTCTTCATGTGTACGAAAATTTCACAGCTAGGATATCACCATTCGGCAACAATACTAGCACCGATGTCAGAAGAGGAGTTAGGCAAGGAGATACCATCTCGCCAAAATTGCCGCCGCCCTCGAGAACATCATGCGAACACTGAAATGGGATAAAATGGAGTGAAATTCCGTGGCCGGCAATTAAGCCACCTTTGCTTTGCTGATGAAGTGGTCCTTATAACACGAAAGATTAGCCAAGCGGAACGAGTGCTGGCCGACTTTGATAAAACCTGTGGAAAGATTCGTCTTCGACTAAATCTCACAAAAACGATGTTCATGAGAAACGGATTCGCTTTCTGTGCCCCATTCACGCTCAACGGAACGAATAATTCCGAATGCTCCAGTAATGTCTATCTAGGTCGGGAAGCCACCATGTTCAACGACTTATCTTCACCGTTGAGCAGAAGGGATCGAGCGGCTTGGTTAGCTTTCAAGATCATCGAGGATATAGTGAAGAGAACAAAGAACACACGACTCCGTGTCCACCCTTTCGGCTCAACGGTACTTTCTGCGCTAACATATGCGTCAGAAACCTGGTCGACGCGTAAAAAGGTTGAAAAATCACTCAGGTAGGAGTATACCGTTTCACGCAAGTAAGGGAAAGGATCCGAAGCTCCGACGCGCGTCAGCGACAAAAAATCAAAGATTCCGCTCTGTACACCATGCGAAGGTGACATATCTTCAATTTGAGAAGTGGCTTCGCATCTAATTCTTTATTTATAGGAATTAGTACTACTTTCTAATTACTTGACAGCGACCTATCAGTAGAGGCGTTCCAGCTAAATCGCACTTCTTTTTACTTTCGTTGGTCGAGGGACTTGGAGAAAGTCTCATTTCCTCCAAGTTCTCACGAATCTGAG